ATGGAGAGAAGCTTGCAGGTGCTTGATCCAATCTTTGCATATCAAACTTTATTAAATTTATTCGTGTGTTTGAGTTAAAATAACCTCTTGCACACTGTCCACTCGTGACATAATATAAAATAATGTTAAACTTTGCAATACATTAATGCATCCTTTTGCAATATCAACATATCAGCAAATCAATATTAGTCTTGATGCAGCATTAATTCTTACAAAAATAAATAAGAAACTGCTAACTCTTATCGCTTGAGAAGATTACGCAATACACGGGGTACAAATTTTGTAAACATATTATTTTTTTCCTGTATTTAGTAGTGTAATTTTGTAGTTATTAATTGATGATCACTTGTCATGTTTTATTTTTTGATATATGGGTTTATGTGACAACTAATGAGAAAAATATGTAAAAATGTCTGATTCATAAATTCGTCTGCTATTTTCATTGTAAATATTCACCGGTATAAAGTGACATGATTCTTACATTCATTCATATTTATTTTTAAAGTAACAGTACTAAGATAATGACATTTTTATCATGTTGCTGATATAATCTTGGAAATTATTCAGATTAGCGGGGAAAAAGTTGTAATTAAGATATGAATATACTTTGCAAAGAACTCCTCTGATAGATAAATTAAAATGCCAAGTAATTTACATATTGATAACTGAAATATAATCTAAATGACACAAAATAACAAGTTAAGAATGATCAGATCACAACAATATCCCGAATCCCACTGAAAAGTCTTCCAAGCAACACATTTCAATGTCTTGCAGACGAATTTGTTTTTGTGTTTAAGAATTTCTTGTTCTTGGTATGTAATTGTTTGATTTTCATTTCTAGGGGATGGTTTGAACTGGTATTGTTTTAATTTTTGCTAAGTAGGGGTTTGGATAAAAGTGTAAAGGTAGTTTATGTTATATTGCGTGGCTATTTAACCGGCAGCCGGTAAGCAGTTTCGTAAGTATTACTTGAGGAGGAATATAATATTCTCGCTATTTGTTGATTAAGTTGATATTAAGACATACAGCTGTGATGACAGTTGTCAGAAATAAGACTTCTTGACGATATTGAAGAGAAAATGATAATAGATTTAGAAAGAATCAAGGTAATTTATTTCTGTTTTGCACACCTATCCAACCTTCCGATTACATTATTTCTCCAATTATTCACTGTGTAATATGGACGAATCTCTTGTTGTTTTCCATCACAATTGACAGTTTCAAGAAATGATAGAAAATATTGGTAATGTTTCCAAAGTACTGGTCGTCTGAGACAAAACTCCCGATTACTCCAGCTAGCAACCTTAGGGGCAGTCCAGGGAATCCACTAACATCGCCTTACGAACTAAAATCCATCGCCTCCAGATCACTCTTAACTTAGCCTCTACACAGCATTTATCAAGATCTTTTTTCTTTATATCTATCTCGTGTTATTCTTTGCTGCGCAGATCATTTGCTGTATCAGTGAGTGTAGTTCTTTACCCTCGCCTTATAACAGTGTGGTCTTTATGTAAATGTATAGTCTTCCAAAGTATTGATAACGTGTTGTCCAGCTTTTTTATTATGAACTTGCGAAGGAAATGCCTTAGATAAAAAGTGTCTTAAATCTTTTCATTCTGTCTGGTTTACCTTATACTGTTTAAATCTGAAGCTATACCGGAATCTAAAGGACACATGTATATAATTTGATATGCTCATGATAACAGCCCAGTCTGATATCAAAATGGGTACCCGCAACTCGTCCCTGTGGTCATTTAATTGACACATTGATAACACAAATGAACAAATAGATAACACAGGGTAAGAATTATCAGAGCACATGAAACCTTCACTACAAAAAATCTGACAAGAAAAAGTTTGTAAAAATTCCTAGTGAATTATCATTGATGATTGTCAGGAATTGAACTGCTGGAATTAGAAGGAAAAAGCAATGACAATGATATTAATTGTAAGATAAAATTTGTGTAAAGTAAAGGCACGACCCCAGATGCTTATCACTTACCATAAAGTCAAGCAATGGCAATGGCAAGCAAACCAAGGTATATTCTCGCAAAAACTGAGTTGGTTGACCTCCCTGTGGTTCGAAGAAATAAGTAAAAAAAATTTAATAGCAAAGATTGAAAAGTTTAAACTAGGATAGTAGCATATATCCATATTTATGCTTATGATAAAAAAAAAAAAAAAAATGAAAATTAGAATGTAAATAATTAATAATGATCTTCAATTGCAACAGATTGAATGCTGACCTTTCAACACCTCAAGCATTAATGAGTGGTCCATTATAACATTGGATCAGAATACTCTCATTCTTCATCAGCTGAAGATATTAGACAAAATGAATGCTGATGCCAATAGTCAGGCAAATCCAGATTCTGGTGCAGATCCTCCACAGACAGAAGAAAAGTAGGTCTCCATGGTCTGTTATAATTGGCACACTAGCTTATATCTGATGAAGTATTATATTTTTATCCATTTAAATTGTTTTATTGATTTGTCTTGAATAAATATAGTGATTGATGATTATTGGTACCTTTTAGATGGGGGTATGATCTTTACCCAGAGCGGCGTGGGCAGAAATACCAACCATCCTTGGCCAAGATAGCCTTACTAGGTGAAGGCAGAGAAAATATTGACAAAATTAAGTGCGAGAGGAATGTGTGGAATTGTGCACAGAAAAGTAAGTACTACAGTCGTTTTTGTTGCTTTTCATTAGCGTTCTTCCAGCATGTAATTGCAAGTTAGGATTACATCTCATTGCAAAGTGTGTTAGAATATTCCATATCTATTGATAATATTGTTTGCAATGAAATTTTAAGTATGACAATTATGCTTAGTATAATATTCATAGTTTGCCTGAAATTACTTGAGTAAACAGTCCAATTACATTTAGATTGTCTAAGGATGTTTTGCTTTTCATTAAATTCAGTTACACATTTTTTTTTTTCTTTTAATATTGCTCAAGGAAAAAAGGGTTGAAAATCTTGTGCTAAAGAAAAAAGTGCTGATTCTTGGCAATTGGTCAGAAAAAATATTCTAATTTCTAGGATACACATTTATGATAAAATACATGACATGTTTGTAATTTGTATATTTTTAGTATGAAAGAACATCAAACCTTGTAATAAGCACCTTTGTAAATGATGATTTTCTCTATATTGAAATATCTTCATGATATGGAATTTACAGCTTTATGTAGCTGGAAATACATTTACATATTATGCAGCTACATGATTAAGATAATTTTATTTATCTTTTTTTTCTTCATCTTTTAGGTCCCATTGTTAAGTTGATGCTTGCTGCTTTGAAGTCGTCTGGTTGGTGAGTAATTAAGAATCTTAATACGTCTGTGACTAGCCCATATCATATAATCTATAACTAAATTATTGCGTGCATATCTTCCTCCTATAAATATCTATATTCTATAAAGCCACCCATGAAGATGTGCATTCCATAGAGAAGGACTTACTAACATTGTATATATACATGGAGCGCATTTATACATGTATATCATGTATATCCCCACAGTAGCTCTATTTGTATGATTATTAGATAATTGTTGTTGTATTTCATTTACAACAAAATCATAACCAAAATCAGGACCTGGGTTTGTAATATCTGAGAAGTGATATTCGTTTATAATGTATTATTATGATGTCTTTTCTTTCAGTGAGGTTGACCTTTCTCGACATGTTGCCTGTGAAGTCTGTGATGTTTCTGTTAGTGGAGGTTACGATCCAGAGTTGAACCAGGTGAGAGCACTTAGAAACCGAGGGTGGTTAAGATTTGTAAGTTTTTTTTACTTGTTTTTGTCAATAATATCCATTTTTGTATTCTTCCTTTGCTTTTTTTTTTTTTTTTCTTTCTTTCTTCTTTCTTTCTTTCTTTCTTTCTTTCTTTTCTTTTCTTTCTTCTTTCTTCTTCTTTCTTTCTTTCTTTCTTTCTTTCTTTCTTTCTTTCTTTTTCTTTCTTTCTTTCTTCTTTCTTTTTCTTTCTTTCTTTCTTTCTTTCTTTCTTTCTTTCTTCTTTCTTTCTTTCTTTCTTTCTTTTCTCTTATTTTGCTTTGCCTCTGTGTTTGTTTACATGTATTATCTTTTAAATGCTTTACTTTCTCCCAATACATTTTTTCTTCCTGTACTCCTATTTTTGTTACTTTCCCTCTTTCTAATTTATGATTCTTTTTTTTATTTCTGCCATTCCTTTGCCTCTTCCTCTCTTCCTCCTCCACCTCCTCTTCCTCCACCTCCACTCCACCTCCACCTCCACCTCCACCTCCACCTCCCCATCCTCATCCACCTTCACCTCCTCCTCATCCTGATCATCCTTATCTTCATCCTCATCCTCATCCTCATCCACCACCTCCTCATCCTTATCCTCCTCTTCATCCTCTTTTTCCTCCTCCTCCTCTTTTTCCTCCTCCTCTTTCTCCCCCTCCTCTTTGTGGTGTACAATCTCAACGCTTTCCCCACCTACTGTGTACCTTTATTTCTCTCTAAAAATAGAAGACTTACACAAATACAGCTGGAAATACATTTTGTCAACACCCACCATTCTTTTCATTGAGAGAAACACATTAAGAGGAGAGAGGGAAGTTCATGTTCAACTTGACACATAGTAGAATAAATAGAGACAGAATAATCAGAGGTGGAGTCATAGGCAAAAAAGATTGTTACAATTCTTAAAACTCTGTGTGTGCTGGAAAGAGTTATTACAGTTATGAGAACTCCACCTGGGCTCTTTATTTTCCTCCTCCTTACAGGTTGTTATTGAATATAGAATGATTTGTGGTAAAGTAGAGAAAATAAAAACTGTATACCTATTCATCTGGCTTTCTCCTCAAAGGTTGTTGTGTGCCAGAATGTGGCACGATCGGAAGGCATGACCCAGGGTGTCCTCACACACGAGTTCATCCACATGTTTGACTACTGTCGCAACAAGCTCGACTTCAAGAACATAGAACATCTGGCCTGCACGGAGATTAGGGCGGCCAACTTGTCTCACTGCTCATTCCTGTCAGCTGTGGGCCAGGGAGATGCATCACCTTTCAAGATTGCAAAGGCACATCAGGTAAGATGGGGATCTGTAGTTGTCATATTTGAAAATGTGTTTGCTTGTCTTTTATTTTCTCTTCTTTTTCTTCTCCTTCTTTACCTTCTCTTCCCTTTTCTTGTTCTTCCTACTGTTCTTTATATATATTTTTTACACTTTGTATTTTAGATGTGTATGTATGTATATACATATACATATATACATATACATACATATACATATACACATATGGTATACATATACATACCTATACTATATATATATACATATACATACCTATACATATACAAACCTATACATATCTTATCTTATCAAAGTGCTGCACCCATGCAGATGTTAGCAACCATGGATTGCCACACCTCTCCATCTCTTGTCATTTGTAGTGCATTTGCAGCTTTGCTTCCACTCTTACTGTTCTTATTCCATCAGTCTACTTCTCCCTTTGACTGCCTCTTGCTTTACTAACTGGAATTTTTTCTATTAAGCTTAGGTCCTCTATCTTTTCTCTTCTCATTACAAAATTCATCTGTCTTACTCTTGTCTTCACCAGTAATTCTCTTTCAGTACCCAATCTTACTTCTTGATTCGACATTCTCTCTGTCCTAGATATTTTCAAAAGCCACAGTCAGCACCCATTTCAAAGGCTTCTGTCCTCCGTCTGTTTATTGATCGTCCAGGCTTCTGATCTGTGCACACACACACGCACATCACACACACACACACACACACACACACACACACAACACACACACACACACACACACACACACACACACACACACACACACACACACACACACACACACACACACACACACACACACACACACACACACACACACACACACACACACACACACACACACACACACACACACACACACACACACACACACACACACACACACACACACACACACACACACACACACACACACACACACACACACACACACACACACACACACACACACACACACACACACACACAAACAGTATATAAGGTATATATATATATATATATATATATATATATATATATATATATATATATATATATATATATGTATATATATATATATATATATATATATATATATATATATATATATATATATATATATATATATAATATACATATACATATACATATACATATGCACATATACGCACACACACACATAGTATTAGTGTAATTATTATTATTTTTATCAATATTATTGTTATTATTTTTATTATTATTATCATTATTGTCATTATTTTTGTTGTTATTACTTTCTTTACTGTTGGTTTGTAATTATTGTCATTATCTATTATTATTATTGTTATGGATGCTTTGATCCTCATTATTGTTATTTTTGAAATAAGACATGTTTACAAAAGTATTCAGAAAATAATAGTAATACTTATCTTTCATGAGGTAGCATCATCATTGTGTTACATTTATTTGCTTCATTTGTCAATATTATGTTCATAACCTTAATTACCATCACATTAGTTAGCATTTACATCGATAGGATAATTATTGAAATGATGATAGCGACTCCCTCATCCTCCATTGTTTTTGTCCGCCTTTTTTCCAGGACTGTGTTAAAACAAAAGCCGCACTATCAGTAATGGCTGTGCGGAAGGTGTCAGAGCCAGAAGCTAGAGCGGTTGTCGACAAAGTTTTCGACAAGTGCTACAATGACCTCGAGCCCATTGGAAGACGAATCCGCAGAAATTCCTTAGACATGCACAAAGCTTATATGGAACGTTTTGCATATGGTTACGATTAGCCATAGTGGTGTGTACTAATACATTTTGTGATATTTAAAATCTCTTTTTGATTTATTGTAAACAGCGGTGGTATTATAAAGTAGGATCGTATGGACCAATAAGTGTTGTGTTTATTTATTCATTTATTTCTTTATAAGATTTTAAGATTCATTTTAATTAATTACCATCTTATTACTTTTTCATGAATTTCTTTTCTATGGATGAAATATGGTAGCTGGTTATGTCTCTGTAAATACATATGTATAAAAATGTAAAGGTTATTGATATTTGTTAATATAACTGAAACATTTTGTTGGTTGTTTTATTTCCAAATGAATTTTGAATCATAATTATAAACAAAGTTAATTATGCAGTTTAATATGTATTCTCACTGTGACACAGATAGAGACCTGATAACATAGAAAAAACATTCACACACACACACACACACACACACATCACCACACACACACACACACACACACACACACACACACACATACACAACACACACACACACATTCCCTTACTCACTCCTCTTTTTTTCTCTCTCTCTCTCTGGTAACTAGCTAGCTATCTCTTTTTATTGTACACACTCTTTAAACACACTCTTTAATTTTCTCTTTTCTTTCCCTCTCCCAGGTTATTTCTTATTATCTCTGGATGGTAAATTTGTAAAATAGCTTGTTTTAT